TATGTGGGACGCGGCCTCAGCATGGCCGGAGAAGCGGTGCGTCGGTGCGCGCCCGGGATCCGAACCCAGGCCGCCAGTAGCAGAGCGCGCGCACTTAACCCACTAAGCCACGGGGCCAGCCCTATCTGGTTTTTTTTGAGGGTTTTTCTTCTTAGTCATGCCCTCAGTTTATCTAGGCATTCTCTCATGTCTTATGCTCAGCTCCTGTCTCTTTATATTTTCCTCTTTCTCTTAGCAGTTCCCCTCACAACAAATAACTTGAAACATGTATCCGGCTCCCGCCTCTCTTTAGAAGTTCAGATTTACATCTCTCATTTTCATCTGAGAAGCTTTACTTAAGTACCTCACAAATACATCAGATTCAGCCACATCCAAAAACCAAAGTGGACTTCCCAACAATTCTATTCCTCTTTCTTCCCTCCCTTGATTTCTTTTGTCATTTCTGAGAATGGCATCACCATTATCAAGCTTTAGAACTCTTAAAATCGTATTCGATTCTATTCTCCCATCATCAAACCACACATTCTGATTAGTTGCTAAGACTTGCACATGTTATATTTTTTAACCCAGCGGTTGTTTATTGTGTGACAGGCAGCCTATTAGGTTCTGAATGCATAGGATATAGGGTCCCCACAGGAGTTTTCATATTCCAGTTAGGATGGCATGTACAAAAACCAAAGAAAATGATAAAAACCCACTTCCAATAACTGCAGACTAGATAATTAGGACCATCCCTCCTCCTGAGAAAAGCTAAAAATACTAGAGATGTGTGTTCCTGCATATGTGTGTGTGCACATATAAGTGTGTGTGTATTTAAATTTGTTTTTAATTGGTTTGAGAAAATCAGAGATCTATCAAAGAAGTTAAAAATTACAGGGCAAATATCTAGGAGAACATGAAAACCAAGAGAAATAAAAATAAGCCCAACTTTTAGGGCTGTGTTTTCCCCAGAGGCATCTGCCAATTCTTGAAGAGACAGCTGTCTGCCAGTCAGCAGAGATTGCAGAGAGAGTGAGCACAGTTTTCAGTAGAATAACAGTTCTAGTGAGACAGAAGTTAGAGTTCATGGCCTGCCTGGGATGAGGACCCTATAGGCCAGGACCTTGAGTTAGGTCCCTGGAGGTTCACACTGTCTGAGTGAAGGTGAACCAGAAATGGAGCAGTCCTAAGATGGAGTAAAGCCCCACTTGGAATCATCTCAAGCTGTGATTCAAGTATTTCAGATCACTGCTTCTAGCTGCCTGCAGAGGGACTAGTCATTAAATAGTGCCAGGACAATAGTTATTTACACAGTTATACCATGTATTAGTTTCCTTTGCTGCTGTAGCAAATTCCTACAAACTTGGTGCCTTAAAATAACACAAATTTATTATCTAGCATTCTGGAGGTCAGAAGTCCAAAATGGGTTTCACTGGGCTAACATGAGGTGTCAGCAGGGCTGCATTTCTTCTGGAGCCTCTAAGGAATAATCCATTTCCTTGACTTTGTCAGCTTTTAGAAGCAACCTACATATTTTGTCTCATGGCTCCTTCCTCCGTCTTCAAAGCCAGCAGCGTGGCATCTTCAAGTCTTTCTCTGACCCTGACTTCCTTATCTGCCTCCCTCCCTCTTCCACTTTAAATGATCCTTGAGATTGCCATGGGCCACCTGGATAATTTAGGATGCTCTTTTCATTTTAAGGTCTGCAGATTAGAAAATTTAATTCCATCCACAACCTTAATTCCTTCTTTGTATGAAACATAATATATTCGTAGGTTCTGAGGATTAGAATGTAGACGTCTTTAGTAGAGCATTATTCTGCCTACCACATGCAAAAAAAAAAAATTAAATCTGATTCCTACTTTACAACAAACACAAAAATCAATTCATAGTAGATAAAAGCTTAACTATAGTAGTTTTAGATAATAGTATTGAAGAATATCTTTATGACCTTGAGATAGGGGAAGGATTTCTTAAACTAAATATAAACCTGCAAATCTTAAAATAAAAGATTGAAAATTCAACCAATTAATATTAAGAACTTCTGTTTTCTGAAGATGCCGTAAAAAGAGTGAAAAGAAAAGTGACCATTGGCAGAAAGTAATTGCAAGACCTATTAACTGACAAAAGATTAATATCCAAATATGTAAAGAATTCCTACAAGTCTATGAGAAAAATTAACCTATGTAAAAGAAAAATAGTGAAAAGACTTGATTAGTCGCTTCATAAAGAGGACTCTCAAATGGCCGGTGAACATGGGATAGGATGCTCAATCTTTTGATTAGTAATCAGGGGAATGTAAAATGAAACCACAATGGGATATTATTTTTATAACCATTGGGTTAGCAAAAAATTGAAAGTTTGACAATATCACGTGTTAGCAACCATGTAGAGCAAGTAGAACTGTCCACATGACTGATGGGAGAAAAAAATTAGTTCTACCCCTTGGAAAACAAGCTAGCATTATCTAATGAAGTTGAAAATGTCTATATAATTTGTCTCAGTGGTTCCATGCCTAAGTGTATATCCTAGAGAAACTCTTATGCATGTGCTCCTAGAGACTTATACAAGAATGATCAATAGCAGCAAAGTTTATAAGAACAAATATCTAGGAACAAAAATGGATAAATTGTAGTGGAACACTCTGCCACAGAGAAAAGATAATTTTTTAGGAGTATAAATATGTGAGAAACAATTAAGAAAAGCATAAGAATGGTAAACACAAGCCAGATTCAGTGTTGTAGTTTCTGTGGGAGAGGGGACAATTGAGTGGACAGAGTGATGAGATGGGGAAGATGAGGGGTACGTAGGGATTTCAATATAATAGTGATGTTCTATTTCTCAAGTTTAGTGTTAGGTATAAAGGTTCATTTTATTGATATTCTTTATACTTTATACATATTTTATAAATGTTTATTTGTTTGTGTTCAATAGCAATAAAATTTTAATCTCTTATCAGGCTGCACCCCAGGGTGGGTTGAGTACATATTATACTCCTACTATCTGTTACAGTCATCTGATTATAGTGATAAGAAAAATTAAGATAAAAATGGTTAAAAGCTTGTCCTAAGTCATAACAACCTCAAAGAACCAAGGCTAGGACTAAATTCATAGTCCATAAGTGTTTTCACTATCCTATGCTTCTTTTTAGTTTAAATTTTCTTTGGGATATTTTTAATATGAGTTGAGTTGCATGCTCCTTGTATTAGCATTGTAAATCAAGGTTAACTTGACTGGAATCTCTAGCCAGCAAGAGTACTAAAGACAGAAGATAAGATCACTTAATTACTTCTTTCATATTTTGTTTAGTTTTCCTTGTTAACTGAAATAAATTGTCTTCGAGTGA